ACATTAAAAAATTATCGATGAGTCTGAGTGTCAGCCTTCTCATTGAACGTGCTTTTTTATTTTTCAATGTTTATGATAGTGCGTTACTTTTTTGTTGTTATTATTAACTATTTTTAAATCTTACGTGACATGCCGTTGTGGCTGGATAAAAGTTTGTGTTTATTTTTCAAACACCTTCGTTTGGTAGGTAGGAATATAGCTATGAACAAGTACGTACTAGTAATATTAGTTATTTTGTTATTAGTTTATTATTAGTACCTATGTATTATGTATTACCAGTTAAATAGTAAAATAAATACATATAATGATAAATTACCTGTGAATTATTTAATTTACGTTGCGTTACGTGGCTTCCGTTTGGGTAGCTCGCTGTTTATTCCAAAATTAACAAAGTAGCTCAAGCCATTGAGAGGTTGAAGTAGCTACATATGGATGGATCCTAGATTGCATTCCTGATTTATCGCTATTCATATTAGACCCGTTGTCATGTCCCTGCCCTTTTATATCCTGTAAATCTAAACCCAAATTATTAATTTCTGCAATTGTAAAGAGGTATCTGCATTTTTTTTATTATTACAACTCCCTTGTTTCCGACGAAGTAGTCAATCAGAAGACTGATGAAACAGACGAAGACGAAAATGATGCAATAAATGTATGATTTTGTGCAAAAATAAATAAAAATAACAAATTATTGTTTTTTGGATGGAAGAAGAGGTATCTACAATTTCAGTCCATTTACTAAATAGAATAATTCAAGAATAAGTACAATTTATTTATTAAATAATCAAATTTTGTTAACCATTATAATCTTTTATATAAAATCAATTCATATGAAAAGCGACATCATAAAAATCATATGATTTTTGACAAATTTTGCAACATTTTAATAATTTATTATACCAGTAATGATTTATTGGAGATAACATTTTATATTAATTTATATATTAACGTACATAGTGAACAAAAATTACATAAAACAACAATTGTTTGTTGATTATAATCCAAAGGAAACACATAATCCAAAGACATAGTTGTTTTTCGAAAGTAAATAGTCACTTGTATTATTTTGATTCACGTAGCTGGGAGATGTTCTTCTTTTTATCATATAAAATATTGCCTTTATTGACAAAAAAACTGATTATAATCTGCAAGAAATAAGAAAAAAAGTAACGAAGGTTTCCAATAGATAGCCTGGCTTGTCAACTGTAGAACTACATACAATTTTTTCTATGTTACTGTTTGTTTTAAACTGGATAGTACAGTAAAGATTATTTTTGCATGAGTTTTAACGAATTCCAGAATGCACCTCGTATTTTACATGTGTAAAAATCCCAAATATTTTAATATAAACGAGCTTGAGGAACAAAATATAAAAATTAGTAGTAGATAAGTACTTTTTACTACTTTTACTACTTCCATCTGAATTATAAATCAAAATAATTGTAAGAAATCGCAGTAATCAAACGTACCGATATTATCAACTTTTAAAAATATTTACATCAGGTTAAACATATGCATCCAAGTAAATATACTGTTCTTCTTGGAATAACTATATAAAAACAATAATTATTTACAATTAACCGTGTAATAGTAATTAATATAATTAATAAAATGGAATAACACAAATCAAAATATTTACGGAAAATACGTATTTTATAAATACACATCGAAATTGTTTATTAATAATATTCCAAACCAAAAACCGCTTTTGAGATTGAAATGCATCGTTGCATTTTAATTGCCAATTATTTAATTCATTTCGATCTAATTTTATTGTGTCCCGAAATTAGACAGTAATCTACATCCTAAAATAGACGTAAAGGTTCATATAAACTTCGTTTTCGAGATACAGGGTGTTAAAAGTGAAGTCCTGATGACACATTTTTGTAAATATTTTCTAAATGTTTAAAGTTAACTAAGTAAAAGTTGGTACAAATTCTATAAAATTGGAAATAGCAATGTTTTCTTTATAATGAAGCTACTTAGATTGCCTCTGGTTCTCTTAGGTTGCCTTTAGCGTTCCGAATTTATCAAAATTAACCTTCTTGTACTCTTCATCAGCTGCTACTAATAAATCTGGTGTACTTATGACCTTCAGCACTTCTTTTTGTAACTATTGATAGCATGCTCATCTTGTTGCTGTCTGAAAATATTTAATTTTTTAGCTGTATACATCCCAGATTCCATCTAAGAGTACGCCATCTGATAAATTCACTCCTCCATAAGGTGTATGGCCTCGTTTTATATAATAAGATACATTGATTCCATACCTCCAGCAAGAATTACATATCGGTCACCTAATAGCATTTCTTTAATTTCTTCTTTAGGAATACCAATAATATTAAAATATGAACTAACAACTCCAGATAAAGCGTTATAATTAACTTTATATGATTGCTTAGGTCTAACCGAAAATGCAACTACCGGATATCAAATTTTATCAGTGAGTTGCAAGGTTTGTCAAAAAATATGATTTTGCTCAAGATAAAATACCTTTATTTTCGATAAACCCCGTATACGACTGATAAAATTTGATATTAGATGATTAAATTTTAGGTTTTAAACTATACAAAACTTTTTATGTAAAGTAACTTTTTTCTAAAATTAATATTAAAAAAAATTGTTGTTTATGATCTAACACCTAACATTTTAACCATCTAATGTCAAATTTAAAGTTTATTTTCTATCTTTAAATAGATATTATTATTAATTTGTATGGTTGAATTTTATTGATTTGAGTAGGTAATGGGCCACTTGGGAACACCCCCCACCAATCCACTTTTTACCAGCCGTTTGTCAACAGTTTTTTAACGATTTTAGACGATTTTCGACGTTTTTCAATGTTTGTTTTCAACATTTTTAGCCGTTTTTCTACGTTTTTCGATGTTTTTCGCCGTTTTTCAACGTTGTTAAGGGTTTTAGACGTTTTTGAACGTTTTTTTATAACAGGTTTAGACGTTTTTCAATGTTTTTTTTATAACATTTTAGACGTTTTTCAACGTTTTCACGGTTTTGGACGTATTTCAATATTTTTAAATGTTTTTCAACGTTTTTTATAACATTTTTAGACATTTTTTCAATTTATTCCAACTTGTTTCAATATTTTTATAAAAATTTTAAACGATTTTAACGTTTTTTTAATGGTTTTACACGTTTTTCGTCGTTTTTGAACTTTTTTAAACAATTTTAGACATTTTTAGACGTTTTCCAACGGTTTTCAACGTTTTTTTATAACACTTTTAGACTTTTTTACCGGTTTTTTTAATGGTTTTACACGTTTTTCGTTGTTTTTCAACTTTTTTAATAGCTTTAGACATTTTTGACGTTTTTCGACGTTTTTTTAACGTTTTTATAACATTGTTAGACGTTTTCCAACGGTTTTCAATGCGTTTATTACATTTTTAGACGCTTTTCAACGTTTTTCGACATTTTCAACGTTTTCCAACATCTTTAACGGTTTTAGACTTTTTTGACGTTTTTTAACGTTCTTCAACGTTTCTTATAACATTTTTAGACGTTTCTTGACGTTTTCCAATAAATTTCTTTATGTTTTCAATGTTTTTTATAACATTTTAGACGTTTTTCAAGGTTTTTCAACGTTTTTCATCATTTTTCAACGTTTTTAATGGTTTTGTACATTTTTCGACGTTTTTTAACGTTTTCCAACTTTTTTTACGGTTATAGATATTTTGACGTTTTTCAACGTTTTTATAATATTTTTATACGTTTTTCGCCGTTTTTCAACGTTGTTAACGGTTTTAAACGTTTTTTATAACAGGTTTAGACTTTTTTCAATATTTTTTTTTTATAACATTTTAGACGTTTTTCAACGTTTTCACGGTTTTGGACGTATTTAAATGTTTTTCAACGTTTTTTATAACATTTTTAGACATTTTTCGACTTATCCCAACTGGTTTCAACTATTTTATAACATTTTTAGACGATTTTAACGTTTTTTTTTTATGGTTTTACACGTTTTTCGTCGTTTTTCAACATTTTTAAACAATTTTAGACATTTTTGACGTTTTTTCGACATTTTTCAACGTTTTTTATAACATTTTTAGAAGTTTTCCAACGATTTTCATCGTTTTTATAACATTTTTAGACGTTTTAAATGTTTTTTTTAATGGTTTTACACGTTTTTCGTTGTTTTTCAACTTTGTTTTAACACTTTTAGACATTTTTGACGTTTTTCGACGTTTTTTAACGTTTTTATAAAATTTTTGAACGTTTTTCGACGTTTTCCAACAGTTTTCAATGCGTTAATTACATTTTTAGACGCTTTTCAACGTTTTTCGACATTTTCAACGTTTTCCAACATCTTTAACGGTTTTAGACTTTTTTGACGTTTTTTAACGTTCTTCAACGTTTCTTATAACTTTTTTAGACGTTTCTCGACGTTTTCCAATGGATTTTTTATGTTTTCAATGTTTTTTATAACAGTTTTAGACGTTTCTCAAGATTTAAGATTTTTCAACGTTTTTCAACGTTTTTAATGGTTTTGTACGTTTTTCGACGTTTTTTTAACGTTTTCCAACTTTTTTTACGGTTTTAGATATTTTTGACGTTTTTTCAACGTTTTTATAACATTTTTATACGTTTTTCGATGTTTTCCAACAGTTTTCAACATGATTTTTAAAATAATTTCTATAAGGGTTTCAAGAAATCTGTTTATTAAACGACAACTTAATAACAATAGTATTAAAAATATTATAATTAAATTTAACTTTAATAATTTGGTACACACTATATTAAAATTATTATTTATTACCTTCTAAAACTAATATTATCTTCTTAGGTAATCAAATTACTTTTAACTTCTTAATTTTGAACGAGAAAAAAGCATTTTTTAAGTTCTAAATCATATACGTAATATATTCTTGAAATCTTTTAATTTTAATAAAAAACAAAAACAAAATTTCTTTAAAAATTGTAGTAACAATATTTTTCTTTTTTTATTTTCAGTGCAGATCTTCGAGGAGTTGAAAGTTAAAGCGGCCATGTTGCTGCAAGCCGTCAAAATTTATTGGAAAACCATTTTCATTGTGATCTACCCATTAGTATTACTTCCAGTTTTTTTAAACAACAACACATCGGCCTTCAGATGTCTGTACGTTGTGCTACTTATGGCAGGTAAGAATTTTAAACATTTTACGAAAAGACGTTGAAAAAAGATGGTTATAAATTTATCTACTTACAATTTCCTACATTTATTTATATATGGACAAGCCTTCGAAAGGTTTGTTTAAGTTTAAAGAACATTTTAGTCAATCATCCAAGAAAAACCTTGTTTCTGATACAATATTGTTAGATTTCCAAACAACAATGTATTCGTTCCACCAAATAATATATTTCAATCATATAGAAAATGAACCTATTGATAAAAAATGCTCCTATTGCTAGAGAAAAGTTGACAACGAGAACTACAGCTTTGCAAAACAGAATAGAGTCAAGAATGCATCATGCAACCAAAAGACATGCTATTTAGTGGTATACAGTTCCAAAACCAGAGAAGAAACTAAAATAGGTTTTTTTTATAACATTTTTGGCCGTTTTTCGACATTTTTTAACGTTTTTCGACGTTTTTCAACGTTTTTAACGGTTTTAGACGTTTTCAATGTTTTTCAACGTTTTTTGTAACATTTTTAGACGTTTTTTAATGTTTCTCAACGTTTTTTTTATAACATTTTAGACGTTTTTACGGTTTTGGACGTTTTTAAATATTTTTCAACGTTTTTTATAATATTTTTAGACGTTTTTAACGATTTTTTAATGGTTTTATACTTATTTCGTCGTTTTTCAACTTTTTTTTAACAATTTTAGACATTTTTCAACGTTTTTGTAACATTTTTAGACGTTTTTCGACGTTTTCCAACGTTTTTTATAACAGTTTTAGACGTTTTTAACGGTTTTTTTAATGGTTTTACACGTATTTCGTTGTTTTTCAAGTTTTTTTTTAACAATTTTAGACATTTTTGACGTTTTTCGACATTTTTAGACGTTTTTCGACATTTTTAGATGTTTTTCGACGTTTTCCAACGGTTTTCAACGTTTTTTTATAACAGTTTTAGACGTTTTTAACGGTTTTTTTTAATGGTTTTACACGTATTTCGTTGTTTTTCAAGTTTTTTTTAACAATTTTAGACATTTTTGACGTTTTTCGACATTTTTCAACGTTTTTATAACATTTTTAAACGTTTTCCAACGGTTTTCAACGCGTTTATAACATTTTTAGACGCTTTTCGATTTTTTTCAACGGTTTTCGACGTTTTCAAAGTTTTTCAACATATTTAACGGTTTTAGTTCTTCAACGTTTCTTATAACCTTTTTAGACGTTTCTCGACGTTTTCCAACGGTTTTTTTTATGTTTTTAATGTTTTTTTTATAACATTTTTAGACGTTTTTCATTGTTTTTCAACGTTTTTAATGGTTTTGCACGTTTTTCGACGTTTTTCAACTTTTTTACGGTTTTAGATATTTCTGACGTTTTTAGACGTTTTCCAACGGTTTTCAACGGTTTTTTAATAACATTTTTAGACACTTTTTGACGCTTTTGGACGTTTTCAACGTTTTTTTAACGGTTTTAGTCGATTTTAGACGTTTTTCAACGTGTTTCAATGATTTTCAACGTTTTTTATAATATTTTTAGACGTTTTTTTTACGGTTTTCAAGGTTTTTCGACGTTTTTTCAACGTTTTTTATAATATTTTTAGACGTTTTTCAACGTTTTTTCGACTTTTTTCAACGGTTTAAGACGTTTTCGACATTTTTAAACATTTTTTATCGTTTAAAAATGTCGAAAAACTTTGACAAACCTTGAAAAACGTCTAAAAATGTTATAAAAACGTTGAAAAACATTGAAAACGTCTAAAAATGTTGAAAAACGTTGAAAAGTATTATAAAAAAACGTTGAAAAACATTGAAAAACGAAATAAGAAAATGTATCTCATTTCTTAATCATAGTTCAGCAAGTACAGCTTTGTATTATAGTTGTAAAAAAATGTTGCTACACACTGTATTTATTTTATTTTTTAGGTTACTGGGTCTTCGAGGTCCTTCCTCTTCCAGTTACCTCCCTTATCCCCATGGTATTGTTTCCTTTAATGGGAATCTTAGATTCAGATAAAACTTCGTTGTGTTATCTCAAAGAGACGAATATGATGTTTGTGGGAGGTCTTATTATTGCCATAGCAGTGGAACATTGTAATCTTCATAAAAGGGTGGCGCTTTATGTCATCAAGCTCGTGGGGTGCAGTCCTAGGAGGTTGAATATCGGGTTGTGTTCGGTGACGATGTTGATCTCCATGTGGATTTCCAATACTGCCGCTGCGGCTATGATGATACCTATTATAGGTAAGAATTTTTTTGAATATGTAGTAAAATTGAGTTGGGATAGATATAATGATTAAAAAGGTATTTGTGGTTTAAGAAAGAAAAGTGATTTCTAATAAAAAAAAAAACAAAGAAAGTATACAAAAAATACATTAGAGTACAAAAAATACAAAAATAAAAAACAAAAAATACAAAAAATAAAAATATACAAAAATATAAAAATACAAAAAAATGCAAAAATAAAAAAAACAAACGAATATAAAAAATACAAATAAAAAACAAAGAAAGTATACAAAAATTCAAAAAAAAATAAAAATATACAAAAAATACAAAAAGATACTAGAAAAACAAACAAAAATACAAACAAATACAAACAAAAAAATACAAATACAAAACTAAAAAATACTAAAAATACAAATACAATTTAAGAATGAAAACTGATATAGAATTTCTAATAAAAAAAAAACAAAGAAAGTATAAAAAAACAAGAGTACAAAAAAATACAATACAAAAAATACAAACGAATACAAAAAATGCAAACAAATACAAAAAATACAAAAAATACAAAAAATACAAAAAATACAAAAAATAAAAAAATACAAAAAATACAAAAAAAATACAAAAAAATACAAAAAAATACAAAAAAATACAAAAAAATACAAAAAAACAAAAAAATACAAAAAATACAAAAAAATACAAAAAAAATACAAAAAAATACAAAAAATGCAAAAGAATACAAAAAATACAAACTAATATAAACGAATACAAACGAATACAAACGAATACAAACGAATACAAACGAATACAAACGAATACAAACGAATACAAACGAATACAAACGAATACAAACGAATACAAATGAATACAAACGAATACAAACGAGTGCAAACGAGTGCAAACGAATACAAGTGAATACAAACGAATACAAATAAAAACGAATACAAATACAAAAAATACAAAAATACAAAGAAAGTTTACAAAAAAATTCATTAGAACAAAAACAAAAAAATATACAAAAAAATAAAAATACAGAAGAAATACAAACAAAAATACAAACAAATACAAAATAAATAACAAAAATACAAAAAATACAAAGAAAGTACAAAAAATGCATTAGAACATAAAATACAAAAGAAATACAAACAAAAATACAAACAAATACAAATACAAAAAATGTAAACATATACAAAAATATAAACATACAAAAATACAAAAAAACATTACAACAAAAAATACAAAATAAAAATACAAAAGAATACAAAAGAAATACAAACAAATACAAAAAATGTAAACATATACAAAAATATAAACATACAAAAATACAAAAAAACATTACAACAAAAAATACAAAAATAAAAATACAAAAGAATACAAAAGAAATACAAACAAATATAACAAATACAAATACAAAAATATGAAAAATACCAAAAATACATAAATACAAAAAATACAAAAAATAAAAAAATATAAAAAATACAAAAAAATACAAAAAAATACAAAAAAATACAAAAAAATACAAAAAAATACAAAAAAATACAAAAAAATACAAAAAAATACAAAAAAAATACAAAAAAATACAAAAAAATACAAAAAAATACAAAAAAAATACAAAAAAATACAAAAAAATACAAAAAAAATACAAAAAAATACAAAAAAATACAAAAAAATACAAAAAAATACAAAAAAATACAAAAAAATACAAAAAAATACAAAAAAATACAAAAAAATACAAAAAAATACAAAAAAATACAAAAAAATACAAAAAAATACAAAAAAATACAAAAAAATACAAAAAAATACAAAAAAATACAAAAAAATACAAAAAAATGCAAAAGAATACAAAAAATATAAACGAATACAAACGAATACAAACGAATACAAACGAATACAAACGAATGCAAACGAATACAAATGAATACAAACGAATACAAACGAGTGCAAACGAATACAAGTGAATACAAACGAATACAAATACAAACGAATACAAATACAAAAAATACAAACATACAAAAATACAAAGAAAGTTTACAAAAAAATTCATTAGAACAAAAAAATAAAAAATATACAAAAAAATAAAAATACAGAAGAAATACAAACAAAAATACAAACAAATACAAAATAAATAACAAAAATACAAAAAATACAAAAAAATACAAAAAAAATACAAAGAAAGTGTACAAAAAATGCATTAGAACAAGAAATACAAACAACAATACAAACAAATACAAATACAAAAAATGTAAACATATACAAAAATATAAACATACAAAAATACAAAAAAACATTACAACAAAAAATACAAAAATAAAAAAATAAAAATACAAAAGAATACAAAAGAAATACAAACAAATACAAATACAAAAAATGTAAACATATACAAAAATACAAAAAAACATTACAACAAAAAATACAAAAATAAAAAAATAAAAATACAAAAGAATACAAAAGAAATACAAACAAAAATACAAACAAATATAACAAATACAAAAATATGAAAAATACAAAAAATACAAAAAATACAAAAAATACAAAAAATACAAAAAATACAAAAAATACAAAAAATACAAAAAATACAAAAACAAAAAATACAAACAAAAATACAAAATATATAGAGAAATACAAAAAATACAAAAAAATACTGATATAATGATTAAATAGAAATTTGTGATTTAAGAAAGAAAAATAAATAAATTGAAAAAATACAAAAAATAAAAATTATACAAAAAATACAAACAAAAATACAAGTACAAAAAATACAGAACAATGCAAAAAAAATACAAAAAAAATACAAAAAATACAAAAAAATACAAAAAAAAATAAAAAAATACAGAAAAATATAGAAAAATATAGAAAAATAAAATATAGAAAAATATAGAAAATATAGAAAAATATAGAAAAATACAAAAAAAAACAATACTGATAGTTTTAATTGTAACTTAAAACATGTTTTTACTGTAAGAAAATATATTTTGAAAATTATGTATTTATTAAATTTACTTTATCACCCTGTAGAATGAAAACTGGAACGATTATAGGAAAATAATATTTAATTTACCTTAATAATTACTTGAGATCTAGAAATCTTCCAGTTTACTGTACTTTATTCTGAAACACCATGTATAGTAGACATTGTAAAAATCTTTCATTTGATAGTACCTAATTAATTATTTATATAAAATGTCCCTATTTAATGAATGCTGCGCTTAAGTATAATTAAAATGATTCCAAAAAAATTTAAAAAAATTCAATATAATGATTAAAAAGGTATTTGTGATTCAAGAAAATTAATTAATTCTGTGCTTGGGTACAAAGTAAAATTATTTAAATTTTAGAAGCAACTTTGGCAGCTCTTGAAAAACAGGGTATAGGCGAAGTCTTCGAATGCCGCACTTTAAAAGGTCAATTAATTGCATGTCAATCCACAGATTTTTTAAATGTTATTGTATATAGTCTCATTTTTAATAATTGTTTATTTATTAACAACAATAACCACTGTTGTGAATGTCTAAATTTGTTCAACAACTTATTCGTGTTTTTACAATTTGATTTTACTCATAATTTATGTTTTTTTTGTTCCTAAAATACTTTTTTTACAAAGATAAAGATAAAAAATGGTTTCTATTAGATTAAACGCCTCAGAGCTTTCTCTCTAATTATGTGTCTAATCTTTTTCTATTAAGACTTTCTGATAGCAAATAATTTACATTAAAAACAACAATTTTACATTCTAGAAGCAACTTTATTAGCTCTTGAAGAACAAGGTATTGGAGAAGTATTCGAAAGCAACGATTTAGAAGGTGAAATAGCCATCGATAGTGAAGAAAGGGAAGATACAAAAAGGCCAACGAGGACCACGATGTGCTATTTTATTTCTACTGCCTATGCTGCCAGTATTGGAGGAATGGGGTGCATCATCGGATCTGGGACGAATCTCACGTTTAAGGGATTATATGAGACTTTATTTCCAGATAGCCCAGGTTAGTTTTTTATCCTCAAATATTTTCCTAATTGGTACAAATTTTTGAAAAATATATGGAAAATAAAGATTCTGGATGAGTTTGAAGATGAGGTTTGGAAATAAATGTTTTTAATATTAAAAAAGCAACAATACTTTTCTTTTATAACATTCTTAGACACTTTTGGACGTTTTAAACGGTTTTATAACATTTTTTGACGTTTTTCGACGTTTTGAACGGTTTTAGACATTTTTTAATTTTTTTCAACGTTTTTTTTATAACATTTTTAGACGTTTTTAAATGTTTTTCAACGTTTTTTATAACATTTTAGACGTTTTTCAACATTTTTACTGTTTTGGACGTTTTTAAATGTTTTTCAACGTTTTTTATAATATTTTTAGACATTTTTCGACGCATTCCAGCGGTTTTCAACGTTCTAACATGTTTAGACGTTTTAATGGTTTTACACGTTTTTCGACGTTTTGAACGGTTTTAGACGTTTTTCAATGTTTTTCAACGTTTTTTTATAGGTAACATTTTAGACGTTTTTCAACATTTTAACTGTTTTGGATGTTTTTAAACTTTTTTTATAATATTTTTAGACATTTTTCGACGCATTTCAACGGTTTCAACGTTTTAACATTTTTAGACGTTTTAACGGTTTTTTAATGGTTTTTCACGTTTTTCGTTGTTTTTTAACTTTTTTAACAGTTTTAGACATTTTTGACGTTTTTCAACGTTTTGAACGGTTTTAGGACATTTTTCAATGTTTTTCAACGTTTTTTATAATATTTTAGACGTTTTTCAATGTTTTTCAACATTTTTTTTTACAACATTTTAGACGTTTATCAACATTTTTTACTGTTTTGGACGTTTTTAAATGTTTTTTAACGTTTTTTATAATATTTTTAGACATTTTTCGACGGTTTTCAACGTTTTAACATTTTTAAAACGTTTTTAAACGGTTTTTTAATGGTTTTACACGTTTTTCGTTGTTTTTTAACATTTTTAACAGTTTTAGACATTTTTGACGTTTTTCGACGTTTTGAACGGTTTTCAATGTTTTTCAACGTTCTTAAATTTTTTTTGTCGTTTTCCAACGTGTTTCAATGATTTTCAACATTTTTTGAATATTCTTAGACGTTTTTTTTACGGTTTTCAAGGTTTTTCGGCGTTTTTCAACGTTTTTTATAATATTTTTAGACGTTTTTTTAAGTTTACCAACGTTTTTATGATATTTTTTAACTTTTTTCGACGGTTTTAGACGTTTTTCAACATTTTCAACATTTTTATCGTTCAAAAATGTAGAAAAACGTTGAAAAACGTCAAAAATCGTCTAAAAATTATATAAAAACGTTGAAAAACATTGAAAAATATTGGAAAACGTCTAAAAATGTTGGAAAACGTCGAAAACTGTTATAAAAAATGTTAAAAACACTGAAAAACGTCTACAAATATTAACAAAAAAAACGTTAAAAAACATTGAAAAACGTTAAATACGTCGAAAACTTCTAAAACCGTTAAAAAAACTTTAAAAACTGTTATTAAAAAACGTTGAAAAATGTTGAAAAACGTTGGAAAACGTTAAAAAACATTGAAAATCGTTGGAAAACGTCAAAAAACGTCTAAAACTGTTATAAAAAACGTTGAAACATATTTTAAAACGTCTAAAACCGTTGAAAAACGTCTAAAATCATTGAAAAACGTCGAAATACTTCGAAAAATGTTTAAAAAAAGGTTGAAAAACGTCTGAAGTTGTAGCTATCAACAAGGCCTTGCAAGTAATATTAGACAAAAACATCGTTTAATCCAATATACTCTCAGACTCCAAAGCTACACTTCAAAAAATAGCAAGATCATGCTTTTCCAGGGAAACTGAACATTGTTCCTTCTTGACTAAGGACAATATCTTACTCGCAGAAGATGAACATAATCCTTTTTTTTTAGAAGTGTTTCAATGTTTTTCAACGTTTTTTTATAACATTTTAGACGTTTTTCAACATTTTTACGGTTTTGGACGTTTTTAAATATTTTTCAACGTTTTTTATAATATTTTTAGACAGTTTTCGACGTATTCCAACGGTTTTCAACGTTTTAACATTTTTAGACGCTTTCCAACGGTTTTCAACGCGTTTTTAACATTCTCACGTTTAAGGGATTGTATGAAACTTTGTTTCCCGATAGTCCAGGTTAGTTACTTAGTGTATTTTTTATACTCAAATATTTTTTTAATTGATACAAAATGAAAAATATATGGAAAATAAAGATTATGAATAAGTTTGAAGATGAGGTTTGGAAATAAATGTTTTTAATATTAAAAAAATCGATTTTTCTTTGTGACAGGACATTAAATTGTCTAATTGTTATTATATTATTCTCAGGTGTGGAATTCACGAAATGGATGATCCTCAACGTACCCCTCATGCTCATCATGATGTATTTAGGGATAATCTGGATGCAATTTTGGTTCATGGGACTCTTCAGGCCGAGCTCCGTAGACGCCAAAAAGATCAGAGTGGGTCAGCAAGGTGCAGCTGTAGCTAAAAAGCTGATCAATCATCAATTGGAACAGCTGGGACCGATGTCGTTCCATGAAGGCGCTATCGGAGTGTGTTTCTTGTTTTCGATATTGTTGTGGTTCTTCAGGAAGCCGCAATTTGTGACCGGATGGGCGGAACTGATTACTAATCATAAGGTACAAATTTGATGGTGATTCAATGATTTATTTTAAAGGAAATGCAAGAAAATTGATTGTTTAAACGATTATAATCGATTATTTAAAATAATCGATTATTTTTGTTTTTTATAAAAATCGATTTATCGGTTAATCGGGTTTTTAACTAATCGATTATTTTCGATTTTTAAAGGAAATACGAAAACAACAATAGATTGTTTGATTATAATCGATGATTCGGTTACTTTTTTATGAAAATCGATTATCGGTTATAATTAATCGATTATTTTTAATTTTATTTTCGTTTTTCAAAGATAATGAAATAATCGATTTGAAAGGAAATATAAAAAAATAGATTAATAAATCAATTGATTAAAAAATAATCGATTATTTTTTAAATAATCGATAATTTTGGTTTAATTTTTTTTGAAAATCGATTTATTGTCTAATTAATTCTTTTTAATTTATCGATTCTTTTGTTTTTTCAATTTTTTCGAGGTAATCCAATAATAATTTATTTCAAAGTAAATATAAAAAATCGATTATTTGAAAATAATCGATTATTTAAAACAATCGATAATTCGATTATTTTTTTAGAAAAATCGATTTATCGGGTAATCTGCTATAATTAATTGATTAATTTAGATTAAGCGATTATTTTTTATTAATCGAGTATGGATATTCGATTTTAAAGGAAATTCGAAAAAAATTTGAAAATAATAGATTGATCGAAAATAATCGATTATTTAAAACAATCGATAATTTGATTATTTTTTTATAAAAATCGATTTTTCGGTTAATCAGGTTTTTAACTAATCGATTTTCGATTTTTCAAAGATTATCGAATAATCGATTGATCGAAAATAATCGATTATTTATAACAATCGATAATTTAATTATTTTTTTTAAAAAATCAATTTATCGGGTAATGGGGTTTTTAACTAATCGATATTCAATTTTTAAATATTATCGAATAATCAAAAATAATCGATTATTTAAACAATCGATAATTTAATTCTTTTTTTTTTTTTTAGAAAAATCCATTTGTCAGTTAATCGGATTTTTAATTAATCGATTTTCGATTTTATCGAAAAATCAATTGATGGAAAATATTCGATTATTTAAAAAAATCGATATTCGAATATTTTTTGGAAAAATCGATTTATCGGATTTTCAGCTAATCGATTTTCGATTTTTCAAAGATTATCGATCAATCGATTGATCAAAAATAATCGATAATTCGATTATTTTTTTAAAAAAATCGATTTATCGGTCAATCGGGTTTTTGAGTAATCAAATTTCGATTTTTCAAAGATTATCGAATAATCGAAAATAATCGATTAATCGAAAATAATCGATTAATCGAAAATAATCGATTAATCGAAAATAATCGATTTAGCGAAAATAATCGATTATTAATTGGTTTTAAAGGAAATACGAAAAAATAGATGATTTGTTCGAAAATAATCGATTATTTAAAACAATCAATTATTTTTTTAGAAAAATCAATTTTTTTACTTTCTGAGAGGAAAATTCTTGAAGTAAAAGTTACTTCTTATATTATTCTCTATAATATTTGTTCTATACAAAATTTTCCTAAAATGGTCCGTATTCGAGAAATTTGACAAAATGTAAAAAATTCAAATTTTTAAGAATGTTTTATGGAATATATTTGTTATTTGCGTTTGGAGAAGAAAATTCTTCAAATGGAAGTTGCTTGTAATATTATTCTTTATAATTTTTGTCTTATACAAAATTTTCCTAAAATGGTCCGTATTCGAGAAATTTGACAAAATGTAAAAAATTCAAATTTTTAAGAAAATTATTAAAATAATTTATATTTTATTAAATATATCTCTTATTTACGTCTAGAGAAGAAAATTCTTCAAATAAAAGTTACTTCTTATATTATTCTCTATAATATTTGTTTTATACAAAATTTTCCTAAAATGGTCCGTATTCGAGAAATTTGACAAAATGTAAAAAATTCAAATTTTTAAGAAAATTATTAAAATAATTTATATTTTATTAAATATTTCTGTTATTTACTTTTGGAGAGAAAAATTCTTTAAATAAAAGTTACTTGTTATATTATTCTCTATAATATTTGTTCTATACAAAATTTTCCTAAAATGGACCGTAATGGAAAAATTTGAGGAAGAGTGTAAAATTGAAATTTTTCAGTATTTACGTTGGCAATGAATACGAATAAAAAAATGTTTCGATTTAGAAGTATGTGGAAAATGTATATATTTAATTCAGCCTCTAATCACATCAGATTTCTTCAGAAACAAACAAATTAAGACCTGTATAAACAATGTTATAAATTGCTTAAGATCAACATCAATATTGTGTTTGTTTAGTACATTGTTGCAATTTATAGACCTCAAGAAATTGTTCAATTCTAGGATATTACCATTTTTGAAGTTAAGAGTATTCTTCACATATGTAGCAAATAATAAATACAACTAAGCAATACAAAAAAAATTAAATTACGCTTCTACTTATTTTCATAAACATTTCAAACCTCAGACTGTTTAGTAATTTAATATGCATCATACTAATTTCACAATAAATTCGTCATATTTAATGAACAATTCTCTTATCCTGTTTGTTTATTCCTTATGTTGTTATCTTGATTGCAAAAGTCCAATGTGATACGAAACGAACTTTAATTTCAAGTGTAAACAGTCTTTTTTTTATTAAAAGAACTCTTTCTTGTAGGGGGTCATGCTCTTTGCCTTTTCATGTTATGTGTCAATTTGTCCTCTTGCGACAGGAAGTTCGAAGTCTCGACATC